CCTCCCCTCTCAAAGCTCGCAGGGACAGTGGCCACTGAGCTCCCGGTAGGGCCTGGGCAGACAGGGTGAGAGACCAGGAAGAGCTCAGTGGTCAATGAGCGAAGTGACAGTCTTCACCCAGTCCTGTCATCCCCTGGCCTCCTGGGTGCAAGACAGGGTTTCGGAACCCAAAGGTCAGACAAATGTAGACCACCGTGTCCAGAGGTGGGCTGCAGAGGTGAGGCTGGGCGGAGGCACCCTGCTGGTGGGTGCGTGATCCAGTGATCCTGACCACTGAGCTCGGCCCCCAGGCCGCATGTGGACCCGGCTCCCACGCATGAAACCTGAGGTAGCAGAGCCATTCGTGGGGAGATGAGGGGTGCACAGCCGCCAGGTTGACTGATAGGGAAACAGCCCGAGAAAGAGGAAATGGCGTTCCAGGAAGCAGGCAGAGCTTCTCAGAGCCCACACCCCACCCATCACTCTTTGGGCCCACCAAGGAGGCGCCTGCTATGTACAGCACCCCTCCCCATCACCTGAGAGGCGGCTCTCTTGTCCTCTGTGAGCACTCCACCCACACCCAGGCACCCGCTCCACCCACACCCAGGCACCCACTCCACCCACACCCAGGCACCCGCTCCACCCACACCCAGGCACCCGCTCCACCCACACCCAGGCACTCGCTCCACCCACACCCAGGCACTCGCTCCACCCACACCCAGGCATGCACCCTGGGAGTCTCGCTGCCCCCCACAGCAGGGGCTGGGTGCATGCAGGGGCCCCCACCTGGCAAGTGAGGGCAGAGTGGGCATATGGTCCCAGCCCACAGGGTGGCCTCACACTGATCCCTCTTTCTATTCATCCTCCTCTCCTTGACACTGGCCCCTCGAGCTGTCTGCACAGTTGGGCTCCTCCCTGATGGGGATATGGTGGCTGTCCAGGGCTGCAGGGCTGGACACTGCCCTTTCTACAGCATGGGTTGTTTAAATGACTCCAGGGCACCATCAGGGTCCTGCACAGGGACTGTTTGGCTCACAAACGGGGCTGACTGGAGAGGCTGGTGCATCACATGGGGCACATGGGCACAGCCCCCACCCACCCTGTGGGTCCAAGGTACAGGATAGGGTAGTGCTGGTGGCCTGAGGCCAGAGTCCCTGCGGAAGCTGTGCCCACCTCCCTCTGGACCGGACGGTTTTGGAGGGGCTGCCTCCAGCTTGGCATCCCTGGACCCTGTTGCCCACTACCCAGGTCTCCTCATGACCCCTTGACCCCAGAGCCCCACACCCACCCCCTGTCAGCTACTCTCCTGCCACCCTTGCCCACACAGCCACAGAGTGGCCACCGAGGTCAGGGAGAGCCGTGGGAGAACCTGTGGGTCACCCCGCTGGAGGGACAGGCCTGGAAAGCCAAGCCGGTGTTGGTGGCACCACGACCCATGCACAAGCTCTCACCTCCAGCACCCAGGGGGCCGAGCTTGTTCTCCTTGGGAAGTTTGTTTGCCATCCCAGGCCAGATGGCACAGGGGGAGGGGCGGGAAGGGCGGGTGTCTTTGGCCTTCCATCGTGGAGCCTGGGGGACAGCCCCTTGTCCCTCTGCTGGGTGCTGCTGAGGCCCTGCAGGAACAGGGAAGGTGCCCACATGGCCCAGGCTGGCCCTGCAGAGCGGGCTACACTAGCTGTAGGCCCAGGGTTCTGATGCCCTCATAGCCCCCCTCTGGGAGTAGGCAGGAGGCCCCAGAGTGGGATGGGGCTCCAGAGGAGGCAGCCGGAAGGAAGATGGGCACTCGGGATGGGGGAGGGGAGGATGGCATCTGCTGAGCTGGTCCCTGAAGGGTCAGTGCCCCCATCTATGAAGTGGGGAAGGCAGGTGCTGAGGCCTCAGGGGTGAACCCCAGAGCAGGGTGGCACTTCCCAAGGCCTCACTGCCACCTGCACAAGGCCCTGCAGCCCATCCTGCCCAGGGGACAGGGGCCAGCAGGCGAGGGCAGTCACGAAAGCCACCAGCCAGCTTGTCCACAAAGGACCACCTGCCCTCCAGAGGAGGGCCGGCCAGTGGGGTCCAGTCACCAGCCCCTGCTGCTGTTCCTGAAGGGGGCCCAGCCCTGGGCCATGGAGCCAGGGTGTTGGGGCCTCCCGTGGACGCTGCTGGGGGTGGGGGAGCAGGGGCTTGCATCAGCCCTGGTTGCGACAGCACTGCCCGGGGACGCAGAGCCAGCTGTGGGCACAGTGCCCGCCGTGAGTCCCTGGAGCCCGAGGAGGGGGAGGGAAGGAACAGCTAATGAGTTCCAGGAGGTCAGCTGTGAGGGGCCCACAAACCCATAAACCCTTTATTGGTGTCTCAGGAGGGGAAACCCGGATGTGGCCGTTTATTTATTTTGGATTTCACTTTTCTCTTCTCTTTATAACATGCACTTCCAGGAGTGTAACTGGATTTTTAAAGAAACAGGACTTCCTTTTTCAGTGCAGGGGGACTCTGTTTTTCTCAGTCCTGAAGAAGAAAGGAACCCTTATTCTTTGTGCAGTTCCAACCACTGACCCCGTAACTCACTTTACCCACGCGAATTATCCCCTCTGTCTCAGGGCCCGGAACCAGGCCTGCTCCAGCCCTGAAGCCGAGAGGGCAGGTTTGTGGTGTGCCGAGTGTGTGCACTGAGCCCCAGGTCTGCTGCCCAATCCTGGGCCAGGCCCAGCACCCAGGAGAGGGCAGTGGGGCCGACAGAGGACTGACCTGGCATTCCAGCCCAAGACTGTCGCCCCTGTGGACACAGCCCCAGCAGGCATGACTCTCGGGGCTGGGCACAGCAGAGCCCAGAGGCAGCCTGGTTTGGAGAGCAGGGTAATGGGTTCCAAGCCTGCCTTAGCGCCTGCCTGGCCCAATAAGCCTCTGACATCATGGGATCCCATCCACACCAGCCACCCATGAGGCATGCCCCAGGCCATCTGGGGGCGCTGGAAGCAGGCTGTCTGGGGCTGGTGGACGGTGTTCCTTGCCTAGTGCTGCTCTCTGTAAGAGAGAACTCTTAGATCCAATCCTTTCCTCTAGAGGGCCTGTTCGCAAGGGAACAAAAGCTCCCTGCCGACTTTCCCACAGAAAATGTCTGTTTCCTGGGTAGCCTTCCCTGATATTTAACGTACAGCTTATCCTTCCTGACCTGTACCGATGGGGTGCGGAGTGGGTGACTAAGGAGGGGGCTCACGGGGGCAGCCTGCAGCCTACAAGGAGGACGGACAGTGGGGATGGTGCTGCCAATGCCACAGGCTTGTTGGGACTGAGACAGCAAGTATGCCTGGCTCTCAGGGCCTGTGCCTGTACGAGCTCAGCAGATCCTGAGTGCCAGCAGCAGAAGGCAAGTGCCAGAGAGTGCAGGGGATCGTGGCTCATGAGGCTTGGAGGAACACTGAGAAGACGTTTGCGGGGTAGCTCCTGGAATGTCACCTTAAGAGATGTAGACAGTCCCCCATTAAGGATGTTGATGAGGACATCTGCTGCTCTGTAGCTGGATGGGGACTTGGCCCCATGCTCCTCCTTAAGCTGTCACTCTGGCTGCAGATGTCAGATAGAGCTGGGTGAGGCCGGGGTTCCTGGCCCAGGGCAGTGCCCTTCCTGACCCTGCCAGCTCTTAGGGGAATTCAGAGTCCTTCCCAGAGGCATCCCTGTGCTCCCAGAGGAGGGCTGGCCTGACCTCACTTCCTGCCACGAGGCCACAGGTTCTGCCTCCTGGGCTCTCTGCAGACGGCGCAAGAGACACTGAAGAGGGAGGAGGATGTGGTGAGGCTGGGGGCTG